ATATATATATATATATATATATATATATATATATATTTTTTTTTTCCAATTTAAATTATAGTATCTACAACATTATATATTATATCTTTATATATGTATATTGTACTTCAATAAAACTGGAGGCATCCATCTTGCTCAACACGTTGTGCTTAGATTCAGCGTACTTTCAGTTCGCTGAAAAACATAGCGACTGCTGAGTAAACATATTGCGCCGCTGAATGCATTAAGTACCGTTCAGCAGAAAATCATAAAACAGTTGTGCAACCATTGTGTCCTGATGAACGCAGCCATTGACTAAATTTACACGTCAGCTTAAAATCGGTTTAGTAACAACCGTATTTAGTAAACTCTCGCATCCGATTGGTATATTCTTTTAGATCTAGAAATATATTCCAATCGGATTCAAGAGTTCATTAACTACGGTAGTTACTAAACCGGTTTTAAGCTGTGTAAACTTAATCTATAACGTATATACATAAACATTCTGCATTCTGTCTACAAAATGAAGCCAGAAGTTGACAATTTAAAACAGAGTGAGAAAGATGACTTGTCCCTAGTGCTTTCTCACTTTATCTTATTGACTGTTAAGAAAGAGAGTCCGTTTAACACTACAAATACTTTAAAACGTTAAATAAAGCAATATGATTGATCCATTCATCGCTCTGAAACACTTACAGCACTAAATGGAACTATTTACAGCACTAAACCTTATCCAAGAACTGTATCCCATTATAGCAACCTAACCTTTTTCTTATTTCACAGTGAAATGAGAACAGGATAAGAGCAATTGCTGTGATTATTTATACACAGTATAAGTTATAAATATCAATTTTATATCGAGATAAGTGAACGATTTTATTTTTGATACAGTTTTATTTTTTTAATTCTGCACTGCATTATATATAACACTTGACAGCGACCATATTCTTTCTATACGATAGAATGAGAAAGCCTAGGGGCAAATCAACTTTCTTACTGTTTTAAACTGCCAACTTCCGGCTTCACTCGCTACTACAGCAGAAATATACTTGGTCTATGTATACACATCATTAAACTGAATAGAAAGTTACTAGTTGATATTAAACGATTGACCGATATAAATTAAACCAATCAAAAACATTAACATTCATCATGATCTTGACGAAATTATATCCGAATCTTTGAACACTTAATATAGAATGTAACGCGAAACAATGGCAAAGGATATAGATAGTGTCTTCTAGATCGTCGAGATCCCATTCGATGGAGCGCAACGCTTTTCGTAGTTCAGTAGTGGTCCAATCGAGCTCGTCTCGTGAGATCGGTGCAGCAACAGCTGCCGCAGAAATTCCACCGCTCACCGGTGCGTTTGGCGACGCGATCGCGACATCTTGCAATTCATTCCAGCGCCCATACAAGCCGCGATTCTTGTTCAACGCCTTACACACCTCGCTGAAAAAAACAATTTACATATTCGCGTGTAATCGACTAAGCCGCTGTCATACATGCATTCGGGATTTATCCACGCCAATTGCAATAAACGCGTACAAGATTGATCGAGTTCGAATTCAAATTTAAATTTTCATTTATAATATACTTCGATGACATATGCATACGTAACTAATGAAGTAAGCTGCAGACTAAAGTTGTGTTCCAAAATTCACTGCTATCATTGAAAAGCTATAGTTTATGTTACATATGTTATAGAATTTCAGCAGTATCAGTAATTTGAAATATAGCATAATATTCAAAGATCCAAATTCAAAATTCGATTCATATCAGATATTTCGTCTGTGACATACTTTGCTTGCAATTCGGAATGTTATTTTTATTTACATTTCCTACACTCTCCTTGACTCTCTTTTTTCATTTCCAAATATCTCGTATATTGTTTTATGTGTAAATTATGCAACTGAGAATAACTCTCGTTTTGTTTTAAAATAAAGATAACTGATACGATGAAAAAGTATATTTTCTCAAAATTTGTTTTTCTATCGTTTTCCTGTAATTTGCTCTTAATATTTACAAAAAGAGAAATTGGCAGGCGATAGTTGAACGAATCCGTGATTAATCATTAATTTAGTTCAATGACACGGAAATTCGTAGCGTCTAGATAATCTCCGATTCAGGTGAAGTCAATCACGAGTTCCTTGTTTCATCGAACTGCTTGGAACATCAGATATCTCAGATGTGTAACATCGTGCAATACACGTTTATCGGGATATTACATAGGGTTCGTCGCGTACTTTGTCGTGTAGAAACGGATAAAATTTTGCTAAAACAATATATTAGAGCGAGATAATTGGCACGTCAAAAGGTATTCCTGCGACGCGATAACGTATGAATCAATCGTATCAATTCTCAATATGATATCAAATCTAATCTTCTTGATATCACATAGCTCCGATAGCTTTTATCTGCTGTCCGTTCTTTATCAGCATGTTGCGTTTAGCGTACACCATTACACTCACACCATTACGCGTGCACCATTGCACTCACACTCATCAGTCCCAAAAAATCTCTATGACATTATACGCGAGGGATCCACACGCACGCACGCACACATCCACGCGAAACACACTACGGAATTGTCGCTTCACTCGGATCTTGAACAAAATCGATCGTGGGTGAAATTGCTCGCGGCTACACTTACTCTTTGACGACAAAGAACGGATTCTCCAGCGTCATTCCTCGCGTCGTGTCTTCTTTGAATTCAAAGCCTGGGCGGCCTGTCTCGCCGCAGCGGCGGCCACACGGCACCCACCGTTAGAGCGCGATCGCGCAACCGCTCACTCATCGGTGAGGAATATTCCGAGCGCGCCCGAAAGCCGACCGTTCCTTAGTACATAGACAATAGTCGCGCGCACCCGTGTCCACTGTGCATAGGTTACCAGCTACAATGGCAGGAGACGATCGAACGTGTGTTATCGATAGGGATTCGGTACGACACCGCACCTCGTCACGTCTCGTATCAGTTCGTCTTGCCTTACTTCGTAGTGTCGTGACGTCCGTTCACGTCTGCTCCGGTTGGCACCACGAACGACTATTTATTCGATTTTCACGGTCGTGCGCGCCCTGACGCGATGCGACGCGACGCCGCGCGACGACGCTCGCGTCGACGGCCGTAATATTATTGATTCACATCGGCCATAATCCATCGCCGTAGACGCGAAAACAATACATAGAGTGGAATCTTAAGTCAACTGTAGAGTTCCTCTAGAGGTTTATTCGCGTCGTATGCCCCAATGTGCTCCTACTCTCTCCAACGCACTCTGATTGGTCAGCGTGGTGACGAGCACAAATTGTGCTCTATGTAATATAAGGAGAAATAAAATCGCGTAACAAGCGCGGAAAAATCCATTGTCACAAGTTATCACAAGTTGTTCAACCTTACCGCCGTTACATTAAGACGTATTCAAACACGTTTGGACCTGATATTTTTTTGGAATTCATACCTTGGTACCTTGGGGTGCGTTCAGATTTCCTACCCGGGTGCATTCTATTACTAGAAACACTATAGTATATGTTAGATATATTATAGCACTTTTAGTATTAGAATGCACCCGGGTAGGAAATCTGAACGCAGCCTTGGATGAAAAGACAATAGAGAAAAGTTTTGGGCCTTCCGCTTTTCCGCTTTTTCAACGTACGGAGAGAAATGATTCAATTCGCGGAACGCGGAAATCTAGTAAGATTTTGTCTCTGCGTTTCCGCGTTTCCGCGCTTCATGTAATGGCACCCTTATATTTAAGATCATCTTAAGTCTGTCTTAAGATGTCATGAACTTACCACAGAGCCGTATTCGCATCTTAAGACATTACTTAAGACGGTTTGAAATAAGATTCGACTATGAATACCGGTCAAAGTCTCTATAAAAAGTCTGGACAATGTCTAATTTTGAAAATGATGTCGATGGTAAGCTATAATGGCTCCTGCACTCAGGACGAGGTAATGCTTGCCGCGCGGCGGAAGTCCATGCGACAGCCAATCAATATGTTGTTTTTCCGTAAGAGCTAGAAGGTTATTACAGAAACCAGCATATTGATTGACTGTCACGCGAATTTCTGCCGCGCGGCAAGGATTACCGCGTTCTGTGTGCAGGAGCCATATAGGTGTTTACGACAATAAGTTTGTCGAGTTATTTGTACTTTTCACACTTTTACACCTAATGCCCGTTGCACACTAATGCACCCTAACAACACAAATTTTCCAAAATACATTCTGAAGATGTTTTCAGGACGGAGGGACGTCATCAAAATATTCTTAGGACGTCCTTCGAAGGTGTGAATTGTCTGAAAATAGCAAATATCTAATAAGTTTATTCACATTAGTTGAACTTTTTACACTTTCACACTTAGTGCACATTAATTCTTTATGGCTCCTGCACACAGGACGCGGTAATGCTTACTGCGCGGCGAAAGTCCATGCGACAGCCAATCAATATATTGTTTTTCCGTAAGAGCTAGAAGGTTATTACAGAAACCAGCATATTGATTGGCTGCCACGCGAATTTCTGCCGCGCGGCAAGCATTACCGCGTCCTGTGTGCAGGAGCCATTACTGCTCTAATTTTGCGGAAAGTATAAAGATAGTCGCGGATAATCTCAACATATCTTACATATCTCATTTGCTTCTTATACATTTATTATATATATTTTTTTCGACATTCTTTATTATTTCGTTTAGAAATGATGAGTGGAGGAATCGTAAGTAATAAGATATTAATATTTTGATAACTGTAATAGTTTACATCGGCCGGTCAAATACATACGAATTACGATGGCCTGGCTTACGTCGTGCACTTGATGCGCGTACTAAATAGTAAGTTTCTATTAGATAATCTTAATATCAACAATATATATTAATATATATAAACAACAGTATAATAAGCTCGTATAATATTCATCAACAAAACGTATTGCATTGATAGAATATGTCGCTATTGATATGCATTGTCGGGAGCGGTGCACTTGGACACGGTGCATTTGAACACAGCCAATCACAGCACCGTATGATTAGAGACATTTGTAGGGTCCCTTGGAACAGCGACTTGTGATTGGACTGTGTCCAATTGCCCCGTGTCCAACTGATATACACCCTGCATTGTCGATATTAAGATTATCTAATAGAAAGTTACTATTTAGTACGCGTATCAAGTGCACGATGTAAACCAGGCCATCGTGATTCGTATGTATTTGACCGGAAAAAAACTCCGGTTGGAAAACTATTCTTTTAAATCGTTTGTATTTCGTATAAAGAGTTTTGAAGTGCAATTGGAAAGATTTGTGAGTCATTCTATTACTTGTAATTAATTGTCCTTTTTTGCACCATATATTTAGCCGGAAATAATGACCGGATGTAAATTAAAGAAAGGTTCGGTATGGTATTATTTGTATTTCGTATGAAAAGTTATAAAGTATCATTAAAAAGGTTTGTGAGTCATCCAGATAATTTTAATTAAATATTAAAAAATCATATATTTGACCGAAATATCGATCTCAAGCGCTTCTGTGGAAGTACCGTCAGGCACGATCGATGTACTATCTAGTATTTCAATACTCATGGTTTATTTTTGGGTAATTATGTATAATAAGGTCTTTTTCGAATTTTGATATTTTTTTGCAGCTTTTTTAGTAAAAATATTTATTTTGACTCCAATATTGATAATCAATCGGGGATATCCGAAAAATATGCAAGTTATATATTGTTTTATTTTTTTTCACTTGTCGAACGTTGCTGCTTTCCCACAATTTAAACAAGTTACTGATCTTTTAACCACATTATGTAACTGCAATATTGAACGACTAGCGGAAGGCTGCGCCCCCCTTTTTTTTTTTTTTTTTTTTTTTTA